ATTTAGAAGGATTAATTTACATGAAGGCAAGAGCCTATTCTTAAGAGTTTTAACTTCCAACATTTAAAAAATATGTTGCCTTTAAATTCAGCTATCATTTTAATATATGATTGATAAGGATGTGTAGGTGTTTGGTTTTGAACTGAGAAATGTGTCTTGGATCTGTCATGGATATTTTTGATGTTTTTCTCAGCAGCATCTTAAATCAACTGCATTTTTTTTGTCTCAAAGAACATGGCTGCTTTCAGGTGTTACTGACAAGTTTATAACAATGATGAATCCACATACAGACGGGAAGTTGAACAACTAGCCTCGTGGTGCAACCAGAACAATCTGGAACTGAACATACTCAAAACCGTAGAAATGGTGGTGGGCTTCAGGAGAAACCCTCCCATACTTCCACCTATCACAATACTAGACAACACAGTATCAACAGTAGAGACCCTCAAATTTCTAGGTTCTACCATATCTCAAGACCTAAAATGGACACCTAACATCAAAAACGTCATCAAAAAAGCACAACAAAGAATGTTCTTTCTGCGCCAACTCAGAAAACTTAAACTGCCCAAGGAGCTGCTGATACAGTTCTACAGAGGAATTATTGAGTCTGTCATCTGCACCTCTATAACTGTCTGGTTTGGTTCTGCAACCCAGCAAGACAGTCACAGACTTCAGAGGATAATTAGAACTGCAGAAAAAACAACTACCACCAACCTGCCTTCCATTGAGGACCTGTATACTGCACGAGTCAAAAGAGGGCTGTGAAAATATTTACAGACCCCGCGCATCCTGGACATAAACTGTTTCAGCTCCTCAAAACGACGCTATAGAGCACTGCACACCAGAATAACTAGACACAAGAACAGTTTTTTCCTGAACGCCATCACTCTGCTAAAAAAATAATTCCCTCAACACTGTCAAACTAGTTACTAAGTCTGCATTGCTGTTAATCTTCTCATCGTTCCCATCACCCATCTCCTCCCACTTATGACTATATGACTGTAACCTTGTTGCTGGTATCCTTAAGATTTATATTGACTGTTTCCTAATACGGTTTGATTGCTTATTTGTTACCTATGACTATCATTAAGTGTTGTACCATATGATTCCTGACTAATGTTTTTATTGTTATAAGTACAAACTCTATAAGTAGACTGCATGGAAGGCTCCATGAAATCACCTGGAGCTGAATTTGACCTGAAGGAATTAAAAGTGTTTTCACATAATTTATAGCTGGCCTTTTTTGGTTTTAGCTGGCTTCACGAATTTGATGCCTTTTAATTTTTATATTATTATGATTATTTTGGATTGCAGCTTTCCATTTTATTTTTATGATTGTTCAGATTTCATATCCTCATCATATGCATTACTGAGCAAACATTTTCATTTCCATTACAAACTGGAGTAAAAAGTTTCAGAATCCAGTTCTTTTTGCCATTTCATTTTACCATTTGAATTTTAGCAGTATTATAGGTTTCTTGTTTTATTCAAGGATACTTGAATATGGTGAATATTTGGTTAGAAATAATGTTTTGTTCTTTACATTCACTAAAACTTAAATTATGGGAAAACTCAAAATGGTTTATAAAAAAAATAGGGGACTAAACTGGGCATCCCTTAATATAATAATCTTATTTATGTTGAAAAGTTTTTAAAACTTTTCTGAAATGTAACTCTGAATTTAATTTAACTTAAGAAAACTTTTTGCAACTTTTTCTATAAATATTTGTTAAACTGTAAAATTTATTAAAAGTTAGGGTATACATTTAGGCAAGAAAAACCAAATGCACCGGTATGATATAAGTGGTACCTGGCTCAATAGTAAACTGTGAGAGGGACCTTGGAGCCCTAGTGACAATCATTTAAATATGAGCCAGCAGTGTGCTGCAACTGCCAAGAAAGACAACACAGTCCTAGGCTGCAAAAACAGAGGGATAGAATCAAGATTGTGTGAAGTGTTAATATCACTTTATAATGCCTTACTGGAACACTGGAACATTGGAACACTGCATCTAGTTTTGGTCGCCACAATGTAAAAAAGATGTTGAGACTCTAGAAAGAGTGCAGAGAAGAGCAACAAAGATGAATAAGGGACTGGAGGCTAAAATATATAAAGAATGGTTGCTGGAATTGGGTATGTCTAGTTTAATTAAAAGAAGGTCTAGTGACATGATAGCACTGTTCCAATATCTCAGAGGTTGTCCACAAAGAAGAGGGAGTCAAGTTATTCTCCAAAGCACGTAAAAGCAGGACAAGAAGCAATGGATGGAAACTAATCAAGGAGAGAAGCAACCTAGAACCAAGGAGAAATTTCCTGACAGCTAGAACAATTAATCAGTGAAACAACTTGCATCTAGAGCAGTGATGGCGAACCTTTTTTACCTCAGGTGCCGAAAGCGAGCACTGACACCCATAATGCAATGCCCCCCGCAGCCCTCTGCGCATGCATGCGTGACCTCCATGCTCCCCCGCCGCACTGCATGCACGCGTGACCCCTCCGTGCTCCCCTCGCCCATGTCCCCCCCGCGGGGGCGCATGTGTGCGCGCAACCCCCGTTTTGGTGCTAGCAGGCCTCCTTTAAGCCTCCTAGTACCAAAATCGGGGCACAGAGGCGCTGCACCCCACCCCACCCCCCGCGTGTGCGCACACGGGCCCCCACCCTTTGTGCATGCGCCTCCTGGCAGGGACCCAAAAATCAGCTGGCCGGTGGGAGGCACACAGGCATGCACAGTGGAGCTGACCTGAGCGTCAGCTCACGTACCCGCAGAGATGGCTCCACGTGCCACCTATGGCATGCGTGCCATAGGTTCGCCATCACGGCTCTAGAGGGTGTGACTGCTTCAACACTGGAACTTTTTAAGAAGAGATTGGACAACTATTTGTCTGAAATGGTATAGTGTTTCCTGCCTGAGCAGAGAGTTGGACTAGAAGACCTCCAGGGTCCCTTCCAACTCTGTCATTCTATTCTTTATTACATTTTTTAAAAAATAGATATTATTTATATTTATATGGAATAACATAAACACTGGTGTCAAATTGTTTTAAATACTGTGAAAAGACTGTATTGTACTTAAAATGTACTTAATACAGCAACAACAAAATTCACACTTAGTAAACATCTCAGATAATATTTAAAGGATTGGTTGCGTTTTCATTGATAAGAATTGATAAGAATTCATTCATTACTTGGAACATCATTCATATTGCCTGTTTTTCTAATGTCTTGGAGTAAAAATTCTAGAATGCTTGAAATGATTTTTAATAGCTAGTAGTGCTTACCAAGCATGTACAGAATGTAGCATATGGAATTTATCTACAATCTAAGTCTATAACTATATCATACGTGTAGAGGCAAGTAGCCAAGAGTAGTAATTTAAAACACTGGGAGAACAAAGCTATTCCAAACTTGTAGAAATATATTGCATATTTTTGTAAATATCCAAAATAGCTTTTTTCTTAAGGCACAACAGATTTTTTTTTAGCAATTTAGTAAATTTGCTTGATCTCTTTTATCTACACTTATGGCTTTCCTTTCGTTTTGGTTTTTTAAAAGTAATTTTTGTATATTATGTATGTAATGCGCTTGGTGGCGCAGCAGACTAAAGTGCTGTTAAGTAGCACCAGCTGCCTGCAATTACTGCAAGTTCAAATCTCACCAGGCTCAAGGTTGACTCAGCCTTCCATCCTTTCGAGGTAGATAAAATGAGGACCCGGATTGTAGGGGCAATAAACTGACTTTGTATATATATATAAAAAAAAAAGAACACCGCTGGGGGGGGGCTGAAAGCCCTACTAAGCAGGTATTTACAAAAGTATGAAGGCTATTGCTTAACGCATTGTAAGCCGCCCTGAGTCTCCGGAGAAGGGCGGCATATAAATCGAACCAATAAAATAAAATAATAAATAATTATTGTGTCAGTTCAGATTATATAAAACAGTTGGATCTGAAATCTAATAAATAAGTTTGTATTTTTGTCATTTTTTTATTTTAATTATTTAAATATTCAGATTTCAGTATATTTGTTGGATTTAATAGAATACATCACATTTTAATTGAAAGGCAATATGTTTAGAAAAAAATAATGAAGAAAACACACTTTAATTTATTCTTTTTTGAAAATTGTATATTATAGGTTTTGTCAATCAAAACAATTAAGGAGTGCCTGTTTGATAAATTCAGATCATTATTCATGATAAATCCAGGGCAAATGAATTACCCTGTTTCCCTGAAAATAAGACATCCCCTGATAATAAGCCCAATTGGGCTTTTGAGCACGTGCACTAAAATAAGCCCCCCCCTTGAAAATAAGCCCTCCCCGAAAATATTTAAACGTATGTGCAGCCGGTCCCCGCCATTTCCTCTGGTTTCCTCCACATGCCCCAAAATAATAAGACCTCCACGAAAATAAGGCCAAGCGCTTATTTCAGGGTTCAAAAAAATATAAGACAGGGTCTTATTTTCGGGGAATCACGGTAGGCTTGACAGGTTCACTAGAAAAATGTTGAACAACTTGGCATTACTTCAACTTCTGCAAGAGCAGAAGCAAATCTGACTGAGAAATGAAGGACATCATTACAAATACTGTGAATATCTACCCTGATATCATGGCAGATGTTATTTTTAATTGGGCTATTCAGTACTATCCGAATAGCTACAACAGCTGCTGTTGTTAGTTTGTTTTGTTATTTTTCATTTCTTTAGATACATTAATCATCCAGGCAAGCTTTTTTACCACCACACCCGATTTAGGCCTATTAATTTGTTCCAACCTTCATCCATTGTTCTCTACTGATCTTTATCCAATGAAATCAAGATTCTTACTGCTAACCCTATCAATAAGTTTTATAATTGCCATAGCTACCATATATGACACCTGGGCTATCAAAAGTTTTGTGAAAGATGGGAGTTAAATCCAAATTAGATTGCTAAATTAGAGATTCCATTGATTATTTAAAAATGCCTTGTATTAATCTCTGTCCCTCCACTATTGACTCTTTACCTGTGATTTGACATAGTCATACTCTTCTGTCCCACGTGGAAAATTTCGAAGAGAAGTGAGGTAGTCAAAAGTAATCACTGCTGTCTATAAAACAACCCAGACACAAAATCATAAGCCACATTCTGTTTCCTAGTATTCTGTAAAAAGCATTTTGACACTTCTTTTTCCACATATAGAAGTATAGCCCTTTAGTCAGAACTTGCACTATGTTCCCCTACTCTCAATGAACAGTAAAATCCACCCATGGTTCAACACACTACACATTTTTCTACCTTGGTTAGACATCCCATGTTCAGTAATGTGTTAATTTCTGGACACAATGAATAGTTTAAGGATTTAGATACACTGAAATAGGTTTAAAGCAGGGGTGTCAAACTCAAGGTCCAGGGGCCGGATCTGGCCCGCAGGGCTACCCTGGAACCAGCGAAGGACTGGCCCGCGGTGCCTCTGCCAGTGAAAATGAAGCTCAGGAGGGCTGCGTGCGGCCCTCCTGAGCTCCATTTTCACTGGCAGAGGGTTGCAGGTCATCGCAGTCAAAAACGGAGCTTGCGGTACTCCCAAGCTCCATTTTCATTGGCAGAGTGCTCAGGCCACCACAAGCACTCCGGACACAAGTGATGCCGAGCTGGCCACGTTCACCCTGGCCCCCCAAGGTCAAACACAACCCTAATGTGGCCCTCAATTAAATTGAGTTCGACACCCCTGATTTAGAAAAATGCAAGGACGAACAAAGCAGTAGAAACAAAGTTTTATGAAGAGAACATATTTTAGCCTTGTGAATAAGTATATGTAATGGCGCATATGTCAAAGGATGTTCCAAAGAAGATCAACATCTGTTCTCCTTCTCTCCAAAGGGACTAATGGAAATAGATTTCCAGAAGGCCAATGCCAATTAAATGTTGGGGAAAAACTTTCTAATAGTAGTATCAGTTTGACAATGGAATCAGTTATTCACAGAAGTGGTGGGCATGTGTTCAAAAATAATATAACCATCTCTCAGAGATATCCGAGATTAGATACCCATACTAAATAGGGAATTTATTTATTTTATTTGTTTTAATTTGTATACCGCCCTTCTCCAGCAGGACTCAGGGCGGTTAACAGCCAGAATAAAACAGAACATACAAAATTTAAAAACAGTTTAAAAATAATTAAATATTTTTGGCCTAAGTATCCCTCTCCAACTCTATAACTATATTGCTATTGCTATATTATTCTAAGCACAGTCCAATCTACATACTTGCCTTTGTGCTAAACTCTTTGGCAAAGTTTTTTTTTTCAATATCAGCTTCCACATTCAGTTTTAGTTTAAAATGAAAATTTCCTCTTTTTTAAATGATTCATGATTTTTAACCCTAAATGTTTTGTATTAAGCATGAAACTTACTGTGGCAACAGCTCTGCCTACTCGAACAATTCCAAAATCATTGGGATCCAGATGCTTGTTGCTGTACATATATAAACCAGCAGTGGCCCCTACTCCACTGACAAGTGACGCTAGTTTTAAAGCTCTTCTGGCCATGGCGGCAAACTGCATGGAAATAAAAACAGGGGAAACATGAACCTGCAGCATAGATGCCACAGATGGCAAAAAGGCAGATAGGCCGCATGTGCATAAATTAGATCTGTGCACTTCCTTTATTTGTCCAAGTAGATTAAAACAACTGTAAAGCAACCATACCAGTGGTGGGTTCCTCCTGGTTCCGCCCAGTTCCGCCGAGCCGATAGCAGTGACGATATGATGTCACCGAACTGGTTCTGCCCCACCCCCCCCTCACACCCCGTATTATTCTTACCTTTTATTTGGCCCCACCCCCAATCTATTGCTGCCTCCTGAGTCCCAGCTGATCGGCTAGAGGGAAAAAAACTGTTTAAACTCTTGCCGTGGGGCTTCAAAAGGCCACCCTACAGCTGATCAGTGTTAAAAGAAAACAAATGAGTAGACCGGTGCCTGCAAAAATAAATGGGTAGACTGGTGCCTGCAAAAATAAATGGGTAGACCAGTGCTTGCAAAAATACATGAGTAGACCAGTGCCTGCAAAAATAAATGGGTAGATTGGTACAGCTCTGCAAGAAGTTAAAAGCCTGGTAGACCAGTACCTCTGTTAAATCCTAAATAATTGTCACATGACCATCAAGCCACGCCCTCAAAACAAGCCACGCCCACAGAACCGGTAGTAAAAAAATTTAGAACCCACTCCTGAACCATACTACTTAAAGTACTTTCTCAGGATGACAGTCATTAGTTCACCAGAAATGTAAACAATCTTCTTCTAAAATAACAGAAATGCAGAGGCCAAGGGTATTAGGTGGGGGGAAAAGAGAACTATATTTTCAACTACAAATCTTCAATTCAAATAAATAACATAGATGGCTGCACAATCTTCCGCTGAGTCTTTCTACTTAGCTAAGGGAAGAGATTTCTGGGTTGATAATTGTTATTTAATTGAAATGACTAATATTTTATGCCTGATTTGTTCTAAGGTTTTCTGTTTGAGGGTTTTTCAACAGCAATTCAGACATCTCTCTTATTCTCTCTTTTTTCCTATATTTTCTTTTGTTATTATTTTTTTTAAAAAACGTGTGCCTTGAAAACTCCATCTGGCGTTCTACTTTATTCTCACCTGAAGTCAAATGGGGCCATTTGTATTACTGTTATTATTGAGGTTCTCAAATTACTGCAATACTTAGCCCAGGATGGTACCTTCAGTGGGGAACCTGAGCTATTGAAAGACACCTGCTTTGTGTGTGTGAAGGAGGGGGTTGTGATAAAGTGAGTGTTATTAAACTACAAGGTAAAAGGAATCATTAGAATAAATTGCTCTGGCAATTTTCTATGTGGCATTGGTATAGCTGTAGCATGTCAAAGAGCGTAGGAAAAGCTTAAAACCTTATCAGCTTCAGAATATGTTTCCAGTATCCAGATGCTCAGCATGACAAAACCCTCTGATTTCATGGGAATGACAAGGTAGTTCAACAGACTAGTGTAACCAAAACTTTTTGGAGGTCAATTATAAACAGTTTTCTACTTATTTGGATGAATGGTTATGATTTCCCTATGTCTAGCTTTTAGCATTATATTTAATGTGATGTAGTATAGGCAATGAAATGACAACTCTGCCAAAAAGCAGGAGTGGGTATTGTTTTCAAAATTCAAATAAACTGTAGTAAAGATCTTTAAGTCATTGCTCTGATTATCCAGGCTATTCACTATTTAAATTGCTCATTTGCTGCTGTCAAAAGTAACTCACATCACCTTTGCAAAGATATAAGGATAGTTTAAATCTTTATTATATCTCTTTAAGTTTTCTAAAATTAAAAATAGTTCTTTACAGACATTCAATAATCTCTTGGAAATAGAGTCAATCTTAATTAGTAAAATTTGCAAATACTAAAAAGGTATTCAGAAAAGGTGTTTTCTGAATTGACATTTTAACAAGCACACATCAACCTAATCCTAATGGCAAGCTTAAATAGTGGCAGAAAATACTACAAAGAAAACTTTGTAGTTAATGTAGCCAAGGGAAATAATTCTTTATGAGAGAAATACATACACATCGGTGGTGGGATTCAAATTTTTTTACTACCGGTTCTGTGGGCGTGGCTTGGTGGGCATGGCAGGGGAAGGATACTATAAAATCTCCATTCCCACCCCACTCCAGGGGAAGGTTACTGCAAAATCCCCATTTCCTCCCAATCAGCTGGGACTCGGGAGGCAGAGAATAGATGGAGGCAGGGCCAGTCAGAGGTGGTATTTACCGGTTCTCCGAACTACTCAAAATTTCCGCTACCGGTTCTCCAGAACTGGTCAGAACCTGCTGAATACCACCTCTGATACACATACTGCAAAGGTTTCCCCGTTTCAAGCTTCTTCCCACTGCTGAGTGCTATCCACTCATCCCTGAGTCAGCAGAAAATGACATTTGCTGTTCCTACCGTTCACTACTATACCTACATTGCCTTTATTTTGAGTCACTGCTGTCTGCTGTCCAAGATTTTAGGTTACTTGCAGTTTCTCTTAGTCTGTGTTGAATGGGGGTTGGGGAAGAAACACTTTTAACACTGATACAGTAAGAACCTAAGCCTATTTTACCCTTAGGCAGGGGACAAGATGAAGACATCATAGAAACACAACCCCCCAAAAAATCTACATTGGTGGGACATGTTGGCAGTATGGTTAGGTGCAAATGGCAAAAAGCTGTTAATTCAATTCTCAGACAAAATGTATCCTTGAGTCATCTGCAAATCTTCAAATATCACTTTTTTATGTGTACACTTATTAAGAACATACATAGGGGAACCCCATAACTCAGTGTAAGGAAACTACATTATGACAGAAGTAGGCAAAATTATAACTACTTTTGATAGAATATTGTATCTGATAAATATAAGTATTTTACCAGAAAAAATGTCTGTTGTTCAAGTCTGCCTCTTAAAAATACCGAAGAATATGAACACTGAAATATTCTGAAAACAAGTAGTCTACAAGCTTTTCTTGCAATGACAACCATCAATAACTTCAAAAGTAAGTCCAACTGAATTCAGCATGATTGTGCTCCATGATAAAAGATAGAATTGGGGGAAGAGAGAAATATGCTCCACTGATTTTCATGCAGTTGATTCCTGAGTAGATACAGCATTGTTTATTCATTTCTATTTATTTGATTTGTGCACTGCCCATCTCAGAGGTGACTCTGAGCAGCTTACAAATATTAAAAACCAGTAAACATTAAAATGATAAAGCAATAAATGATAAGTTAAAAGTACATTCTTGATAATATTGCTGTACTATTATGTTGTAAATTTTTAAAGTTTAATATTACTAAATTCCTAACTCATCATTCACACACATACCACATGGTTACTTTTCCACAGAATTTACTGAGCTGGTCTCAACGTATACAGAAAAATCATGTTTCTTTAAAATGAGTCAGAAAGATCATTGAATAGATTTTCTTCCAAGCATGATAGAATCTTCAAGAGGAATCTTTATGTTCAATTCCCTGAATCATATTTAGTATGTTCTAATGTAATTGATATTCTCTTTTTCTCTTTCACATTTACCTTTTGAGCACAACATACAAGAAATATTGTATTGAGGGTTCCTTGTCCATTAAGAGTTATGTCATAATAAATGTTCATCTTAAAAATTGTTAAAATATCCTGGATCGTATTAGTCACTCATTACAAGTGAGAACACTTTTAACATTAGCCGCCTTATGAAGTAAGAATTGGAAGTAGGTCGAGTGAGAAAATTTATAATAGGAAATATTCAGGTAGATTTTCTTTGGGACGAAGTCCAGTGAAATTACAGAGGTCAATAAATTACTGAGTTTTATAGAAATGAGAAGTGACCGATTGGCATTGCGAATAAAGGATTGCCTGTATTTTGAGGTTTGAGGGCAGATTACACCGATCGGGTGGTGAAAAAAATCAACACTCTTGATAGATTATTGAAGCAGTAGATTCCATGCAGCAGATAGCGAGAGCGGAAGCGAAATCCTCGAATCACATTAATAACTGGATGGGAGAAACTGGCGTAAACGAGTCTATTCTAATCCAATTCATTAGAATCCTCTGTTCTTATGCAACCTTCTACATTCCACAAAGGTTTTGATATCCGCAGGAATCATTTCAAAGGCGTTCGCTCCTCCTCCTCTTCCCCCCCTTATCCGTCCCTCCGGCCACCTCCAGTAAAAGTCAGACCGACCCCTCCACTCCGCCTCCCGCACTTACCGGCTTCCTGGGCACAATTTACCAGGGCAATTTTAATTGGCGGAAAATAAAGGTTCCCCCCCTTCTCTTCCCACGTGGTACAGACTTTTCTCTGTAGAGGATGCTGGGACTTGTATTGTGGTGGGGAGGGGAGAACTAATTGGTTGTACGTATAAGAAGTACGCGTGCAGAAGAATTAGGGCAGTGGCGTTTTTCGGTGACTGTTAATCACGAAAACGAGACCAAAACGTCCTCAATATTAGTGTCTATAGAATAGCCTTAAATCTTTAGGTACATAACTAGCAGAGCTTGTTCTGTGACTCTTGTGTGCTGCACCCAATGTGAAGCTTGTTTAGACAATAAGTCAAACTATTTTGAAGATCTTTAGGGTGTGTGGGTATATATATTCGTTGAACTGAAAATCCTCATATTCCTTATACAACCAACACTAAAAGACTACTCATGAAAGGAGAAATTAATGTCCTATCAATTACATTTAGGCATCCCATCTGCAATATTAAAGAAATGAAAATCCATGTGTGGCTTAGGAATTAAAGTTAAAAATTAAAAATATTAAGTTGAAAACAAATTAATTTTGAAGATAATGGGCGCAAATCATTTACCAGTAATGATAGCTTTATTACAGATGTTAGTCTTATTAAATCATTGAAACACCACATTTAAGGCAATCTGGTAGCACCAACCAACTCTGGGAAACTGTTTTACCTTGTTAGTTGGATGGGATACTATCAGAAAATATCAGGGCTGTAGGCTAGAATGAAAGGTGAAAAAATATGGTCCAAAAAGACAATGACAAATCTCACTAAATCACCAAGCTGAACTCAAATGCATTTTGAGTTCATTACATACATTACCATTTCTGGTCTTTATTTCACAACATTTCAGAGGGAATCCAGATGTCTTCTAACTAACAAGTTTCCTCCTCTAACGGTTTCCACTGTTGTTGGTATCACAAATGAAAAGAATAAAGAAAAAGACAATAGTTGTGTAATGTTTTTTGACTGCTAATATTCATAACTATAATATTCATAACAGTAATATTCATAACTGAAGTAACCTAGTTAAATTACCATTGCATGTGAAAGATTTATTGGAAGAAATACCATCTTTCCTCATATTCCTGATGCTATTTTGCTATTCTGAGCTTCTAATATAGGAAAAGATCCAACAATTTTCAAAGCCCTTCTTTTTACATACCATGAGTTATAAAAGTTGCAGTAGCAGGAGTTGACTGGATCCTTTCTAATGCCATCCCAACTGTGTCCATGGAGTTTCAAGGGAAAAATAGAAATGGAACTTAATCTGAAATGCACATTTTAAGAGCCTGTGGCAATATATAATTCAAAACTTGAACTCAGGTCTCCATGTGTTTACACTAAATTTGTTTTCTTTCTCCTATTGGTGTTCCTATTGGCAACACCACCATGTCTGTCCCCATATAGTTTATCAAGATTCTCAATAAACTGGAACATTTCCTGTACATCACCACTATTGCTGTCAATAATCAAAGATAAATATGCTCATTAGAAACAATGGAAGTGTTGATGACAAGGGGAAAATGCTTGCAGGTGTGAGAGATGAAACTTCCTGTACAGCTGGTGCCTAACTGAGGCTTCCCTATCATCAGACAAAGAACAGTGGCAAACATCACTGATTTCTAAAGCAGCCCTAGAATAATGATGAAGATGATAAAAAAGAAACTGAAAAGTTTATAGGAGAAAGAATCAGAAAAATTAGAATCAGATGGAGCAGTAAAATTGTAAAGAAAGGCACACCAGATCTAGGGCAGCAATAATTCTGCTTTGCATTTTCCATTTTTCTGACTGAAAGGGAAATTTCAGGGACAGTCTTTTATAAAATATGTTTTTTCTCCCCCAAGGAACCCTTTTATGCAAATATAGACACAGTTATAGACAAATGAAGTAAAGATTTACAGTACTAGAGAAAAATATAAAGAAACACATGACATGAATATACTAAAGAATTGTATAAAACAAGATTGCAAATCAATGATATATGCAGTATAAAGGCTTAATCGGTGAACTACAGCTGGATATTCTGGGAAATTAAGTTAAATAAGCCTTAGGAAATATTAGCAACAAAACTGCAGGAGTTAATAAAAAGCCAGCAGAACTATTTAAAGTCTTACAAGATAATGCAGTTGAAGTGCTTCTTGCCATTTGTAAGCAGATACAGTATGTAAAATATAGCAGTGACCAAGCAACTGGAAAATATCAATTTATATTCCGATACCAAAAAAGAATAGTCCCAAAAATCCTTTTGAAGGATTGCACTTATTTCATATGCCAGTAAGATAATGTTTTAAGATCGTGCAATCCAAACTTCAAAAGTACATGCAACCGAAACTGCCAGATACTGTACACAATTTGGATACAGAAGAAGTAAGGGCACCTATGATCACATTGTGAACATCCAGCAGAACATGGAAAAAGGCATTCAAAAATCTGATTTTGCATTATTGATTATATAGAAGATTTATCTCCTATTACTTCCCCTATGCCAGCGATGGCTAATCTTTTTGCCATCGGGTGCCAAAAGCGTGGGGAGCATGGGAGGGTTGTATGCGCGTGTGCCCACACCCATAATTCAATGTGGCCCGTCCTCCTGCGCATGCGTGCGCGACCACCACCCCCACACAACCCCCGCTTTTGGCACACGATGGCACGGTAGCCCGTTTTTTGCCCTCCCCAGGCTCCAGAGGCTTTCTTGAAGCCTGGGGAGGGTGAAAATGCCCCCCCAGACCCTCTGGAGGGCAGAAACGGCCCATTTCCCGACTTCCAGTGGGACCAGAAGGCCCGTTTTTCGCTCTCCCCAGGGTCCAGAGGCTTTCTAGGAGCCTGGGGAAGGCGAAAATGGCCTCCCCCTCCCCCCAGAGGCCCTCCGGAGGCTGGAAATAGCCTGTTTCGCTACTTCCGGTAGGCCTGGAATGTTCGAAAATCAGTTGGCCGGCTGGAGCTGAGCTAAGGCAACACTGAGCTAAGGTGACACTCCACATGCCACCTGTGGCACCCGTGCCATAGGTTCGTCATCATGGCCCTATGCTTTTTGAATTGCTTACTAATGGAACCAGAGGCTTAGGCAACAATTACTCTTGCACCTTTCACCTCCAGTTTGAACCACTGCATACTGAAAAGGGAAAGGACTGGAAGCACTGGATGTGTGGGAAGCAGTTTATTTACTTGGAAAGATCTGTCCAGTGTGTTCATCCAGATTAGGGCTAATTCTATGTGTGATTCAGAAAGGCTGGCTGGAAATAATGTTTCTAATTATATGCTCATACTTAGGGAACCACCATCCTCCAGAATCTGAATGGTATCTTCCCTAGAACTTTTAGGAGGACTGTCAAAATGAAATTATTCTAGGGGGCACATATCTGCATAATTTATTGAAAGAGTCACTATGGGAGGGTTTTATAATTTAATGGGAGTATGGATTATTTTATACAGGCAGTCCTTGACTTAGGTCCACAATTAAGCCAAGATTTCTGTAGTTAAGTGAGACATTTGTTAAGTGAATTTTACAACCTTACTTGCCACAGTTGCTAAGTGAATCACTGGAGTTGATAAGTTGGTAACATGGTTGTAAGTGAATCTGGCTTCCCCATTAATTTTGCTTGTCAAAAGGTTGCAAAAGGTAATCACATGATCTTGGGAAATAGCAACGATCATAAGTATATAACAGTTGCCAAGCATCTGAAAGCAAGTTACGAAAGCAACTTGCGACTTTCTGCCAACTTCCCCATAGATTTTGCTTGTGGGAAGCAGCATTGAAGGTTGAAAATGCAGATGAACGGTATTTCTTGGAGATATTCCAATGCACTATTGTTGCTACTTTGTCATGCCATAGTTTGTAATCAGTCTGTGCGATCTTCTTGCAGCAACTAAGTGGACCACTGTTTTTCAGCTTCTTTGCAGAGATGACATTTCCTGTTTGTTGATGACTTCTCAATTTGGCTTTGATGCATTTGTCCTTAAAGTTTGATCTTGTGAAGCCAGAATTAACCCCATCTCTTTTCCTGCTCTTAGGCAGTGGCAGGTGTTGTTATCTGTTTTGCATGCTATTTTTTAATGTATTGGCCATGTAATATTTTTCCTTGCTGTGTCTCTTATATTCTTCTTTTGGTCTTTCTCGTAAGCCAGATTGATCTCTCCGGTACTCATTAAGCCTTCATGGTATACTAACTTTAAGTGCATCTTTTCCACCAGCCTTCAGATATTCTTCCAATGCCCTTTTCTTCTTCAACTGTCTAGTATACTTGAAACATTCTATGCCCATCTATTTTCCTTGGCAAGTAGAGTCTATCAATATCACTGTATGGATGAAGAGCATGATTCATTGACAATTTTTTCTGGTCTTCCTATCCAGGACTTTTAGTTTTGCTTGAATCCAGTTCACTGTTCTAGCTGCCTAGTTAATGGCTGGCATTGCCCAGGTTAATTGCCTTGGTAGTATTTCCTCTATGGAAGTTGGATTTTCAGATCTTCATACTTGGGATGTATTCACTTCTAAACTTCTTGACTTCAATGTTCTTGATATCAGCTTGAAGAACGTTCAGGTATTTGTAGTCATTGTCTTCACCCAGAGTCTCAATGTTATTTCCTAGGGCATATTATTCCTCCAGTTTTCTCTATTTTTCCTCTGTTGATGGTGAGGATAACACATTTATCCAGTCCAAATTCTATTCCAATATGATATTGTCATGAGAATAAATAGATAAAATCATGTGTCCTACCATGAATTCAAGGAAATAAAGTGACATATACATATAAGAAATGATGTGTGAACTTGGTCTGTGGTTAATATATAGTTCAATGTTACATGAACCTAGAAAATTGTACTGAATAAACAAATCATACTTTAGTTAAGTATGGGTAAGCATATCATGTGACAGAGCCTTCAGCCAAAACCTTAGCTCTTAAGTACTAATCTTCTCTAAGCCTACTGAGGCTGCAATTTCATATATATTTAGACTGAAAGTAAGACATTGGAAATTTAGAGAGGTCTACTGTACTTCCAAATAAA